TACGTCTGGTCTTACCATGTGTAAACTCTGGTCCATGGTCATCTCCTACATGTACGTCTGGTCTTACCATGTGTAAACTCTGGTCCATGATCATTTCCTACATGTACGTCTGGTCTTACCATGTGTAAACTCTGGTCCATGATCATTTCCTACATGTACGTCTGGGTCTTACCATGTGTAAGATACGTCTTATAGTGTCTGCTTCCGGAGTTACCTCTCCGTTCACGCTCTCTGTGGCCATGCAGCCTCTGAACGAACGCTGGTTCGAGCCGTCGACCCGCGGCGCCTCCATACGACAGCTGCACAGCGGGAGTTCCTCCAGGCGCTCCGCCTCGCCCCCGTCACTGCCTTCTACACACAACAGCACGACATGAAGTAAGTTATTTATGTAGCGCATTTTACAGACCAAGGTCACCCAAAGCACTTTACAAATGTTCAGAGTTGAGATGTTTTTCCATTCTCTCCACACAGTGATGACAGAAGCGAGACCAGAACACACTGGTCCATCAAAGCCTCCGACCAAACACCATTCACTCTTTACATACTATTGTGCATGTTTTTAGTGGTAGGAAAACCAGAGGAAACCAATGCAGACACAGGGAGAACATGCAAACCACTCAGAAAGGCCCTGTTCCGACCGGGATTCAAACCCAGGACCTTCTTGCTGAGAAGCCAAAAGAGCTCGATCAAGCTCCTGCTGTAAACACACGTCCAACAGAAAGGAGCACACAGATAATTACACACCCATGATTTACCTGTAGTTACCTGTATTTACCTGCACGGCATCATGAGATTAATACAATGTTATGAAAAGAATTGAGAATAATCTGCAATAATGCTCCCGGGAATCTTTTATTTACACACGACATTGTTTTGGGGGTGGGCACCAATAAGCTTTTGCTTCGGCCCACTCCTTTTGAGCAGTACTTGTCTGCTCAAATAAACAAATAAATAAATAAAACACACGACATTAGTGACGTCTCGAGTCCCTTCATCACACATGAAACATCACCATCGTGGAATGTAAATAATAGATTCTTGGGAGAAACACAGCTGTGCACATTTTTCTCATTCATGTTTTTAACCTTTTTAAATCCAACACGCTGTTCAGGCTACTGGGAAGTGCAGCCTTATTTGAAAACGTATCTATTATTAAAATTTTAACCAATGCAAGCATAAATATATACATCGATCAATTAAACAAATAATAATAATAATAATAACACAAGTTGACAGCCAAAAAATTGGTCAGGGGTTTCTCAGCTGATTCAGACTAATGTTGGTGTTCTGAGTCTGAATATCACATGCATGTTGCTCGATCAGGTCAACTTTGTGAGATACAGCCATAGTCTTACGGATGTACGTCTACGTTATTATGAATTCTGCTAATCAAATTTGATGGAGTAAATAAAAACTGAATGACTTTGGATACGTTTACTTTTATTTCTTGAGGAAAACAGAAAAAACGTCAAGGGTTTCTCAGCTGATGATCCGCAGAAATTTGTTTTTAACGCAAAATCGATTTAAAAAAATATTTCTGTGGCAAAAAATCCTGACCTGTTTGAGCAAAACCAAGGTCATTTTCGGACTCAGAGCATCAACATTAGCTAAATTCAGCTGAAAAACCCTGGACTATTTTCAAAAAATATTTTTTTGTTACCCAGTGTAATAATAGACGTACTCTTGTTGACTAAATATGACTCTCTGATCTGTTGTTGCCGAATTTACAACATTTGCTGCTGTGATTTAAGACAATACAAAAAGAAACCTAATTGAAGTTGTAAAACACAGACCCATATTAGGCCCATACCAGGATCAAACCCCGTTCATGAACTCACTACTTTCATCGATCGAGCCCCTCTCGCTGATGAGTAATAATCTACTAAACATCTATTGGAGCAAAGAACCAGGAGGTTATCTTTACCAGGCTGAGGCGAGTGCGTCAGACTGTCGGCAGCAGCGATGTCCAAAGCTCCTAAAGGAACCTCGGTGTACTCAGGAGCGCCCCCTGGTGAAGGCAGCAAGATCAAAGTTAACATCTGACAAAAATATAGCAGCAAGTAATGTTTATTTAAATACTGCCTTTTTACAGACCAAGGTCACCCAAAGTTTCAGAAATTAGATATTGTTCCATTCTCACACGGCGATGATGGAAGCGAGACACCGATCACACTGGACCATCAAAGGCTCCGACCAAACACCATCCATTCACTCATTCATCACATTCAGACCTATTGTGGTAGGGGAAACTGGAGCACCCGGAGGAAAACTATGCAGGCACGGGGAGAACATGCAAACTCCACTCAGAAATGCCCTGTTCCGACCGGGATTCGAACCCAAGAGTTCCCAAATGAGATAAAAAAAACATATATGTCTCATTTTTCACCTTCGTCCGTCTCCAGAGCGTCAGGGTCTTTGTTCTGATGCGACGTGAACCAGAGTTTGGTCTGAGTCGTCCGTGTTCCGGAATCCAACTGCTGCAAACAGAAAGGTTCAAATATCAATAGAGAGATTCATACAGTGGTCTCTGTTTTATCACCAGAGTTCTAAAAACAACCTAGAGACCAGAGAGAGAGAGAGAGAGAGACCAGAGAGAGAGAGACCAGAGAGAGAGAGACCAGAGAGAGAGAGAGACCAGTAAGAGAGACCAGAGAGAGAGAGAGACCAGTAAGAGAGACCAGAGAGAGAGAGACTAGAGAGAGAGACCAGAGACCAGAGAGAGAGACCAGAGAGAGAGAGAGACTAGAGAGAGAGACCAGAGAGAGAGAGACCAGAGAGAGAGAGAGACCAGTAAGAGAGACCAGAGAGAGAGAGACTAGAGAGAGAGACCAGAGAGAGAGAGACCAGAGAGAGAGACCAGAGAGAGAGAGAGACTAGAGAGAGAGACCAGAGAGAGAGACCAGAGAGAGAGACTAGTGTCAGAGACCAGAGAGAGACCAAAGAGAGAGACTAGAGACAGACCAGAGAGAGACCAGAGAGAGAGACTAGCGTCAGAGACCAGAGAGAGACCACAGAGCGAGACCACAGAGCGAGACCACAGAGCGAGACCACAGAGCGAGACCACAGAGCGAGACCACAGAGCGAGATCACAGAGCGAGATCACAGAGCGAGACCACAGAGCAAGACCACAGAGCAAGACCACAGAGAGAGACCAGAGCGCAAGACCAGAGCACGAGACCAGAGCGCGAGACCAGGACTGAGGGCTACAGGAAGACTGCTGTACTCTGAACTAAGCGCTGTGGTTAAGCAAAGGTAACTGCCAAATGTTGCACTAACGTTCACATGAAGTTTCTAATGTTGATTGTTGTTGACACAACACAAAAGACACACACACACACACAATGTTGATTAAACACACAACACAAAATGACGCACACACAAATCCACAAAGCGCTTCAGCGAGTGACCACCGAGTCTGTACCTTGTCTAAAGAAAGTGGACTCGACATTAGACTTTTGAAGCTGCCTTCTTTGCCCAGAGAGCCATTCTTTTGTATCGCCGCAGGTTGAGAAACGTTTTCCGGGTTTTTACCAGATTCCTAAAAAGAAAAAGACAAATTTTAACTTGTCACCGCTGAAGTAAATATGGAATAGTTTATGTTTATATCGTACCATGTTGTCGGGTCCAGACTTTGATAGATTTTCAAATAAGTGCTCGAGTTTTCTCTTCTTAGCAGCTGCAAAATAAATTACAGATTGATAGATTTTAAAACGCACGGGTCGGTCTGGTCCGTCAGAACTTAAAAGTTGAAAAGAGGTCTTGACTTGTTTAAAAATGTGTATTTGTGTGTTCTTTCTGATATATAACAATATTTGGAATAACTGTCAATTCACACATTTAAAAAAACCTTTCAGACCAATGTCATAGAAAAATATATTACTCTAGAATAAAACCAACCAGACAATAAATAATATGATCAATTATAACTAAAACTGGACTAAAAACGTCCACGAAATCTTCAAACGCTTAAATCTACACGTTTTCCTGCCCCAGTGTGAGGTTGTATGTATTTACTCTGTACTTGTACTTAGTTCCTATAGCTGTATTTCTTTGACTACTTAAAATAGACAGATGTATTAGTTATTCATTTCACTACATGTTATTGACCGAGTTGCTAACATCGTATCTAACAAATAATCTATCAGTTATTACTCATATAATGCTTTAATGTGCTAAATAAATATTATTGATTTCATTTGTATCTTTTTTTTCATTTTGTGCTTGATTGTGTTTTTGTGAATGGATAAGCCTGAGTAACTTCAGCCTAAACCATTTCGCTCTGTCAACATTCTGTCATCATTTTGGGTTTGTGATGAATGTATAATGCTGAACCCTGATCGAAGAATTAAACACATTCCATTTCATGACCAATTAAGATTTATCAAATACCAAAACAAGATATTCCAAATACCACTTCTTCCTTCCGTCGTGCAGAGTCATTTAAACTAATTGCACTAATTTAATATTTCTTATAAAAGCGTCGCGTACCGTGTTCTGCATCAGTCTGAGCAGAGGTCTGTGGTCCACTTATCTGACTGATCTGCAAAACACAACATTATTATCAAAAAAGCGTCTAAAGAGTGTCTGACGCACAAACAGCGGCCTGAGAAGTATCTGAAGAATTGGTCATTTCTCACATTTCTGACAGGTCGCTTCATGTTTTAGAGCAAAAGATCCTAAAAAACGTTTTAATACATTTTTCCAGTAACGATCAAAGGTTGACCAGGGCCCGAAGCAGCGCAACAAACGGCGTCGCTCCCTCCAACATGCTTCAGGTGGAATTTTGAGGTGAGGTTTTGACTAGGGGTGCAACGGTTCATCACTGATCCGTGAACCGTTCGGTTCAACGTCTTCGGTTCGGTACACACGTGATCCGCGGTTTAATTTATGGAGAAAAAAAACTGCGCGCACGTTGTTCAGTCCACACACAGCGTAATCATGGCGAGCGGAGGAGCTGGAAAGTCCCGCGTCATTTAAATCCCCTGTATGGAAGCATTTTGGCTTCCCTGTCAACTATACTGACGATGGCAAAAGGTTAGTCGACAAAACTGTCACGGTGTGTAAGCACTGTGGCACAAGAATAACATACGAGAGTGGAAGTACTTCGAACATGGCCACGCATATGAAGCGACATCACCCCAGCGTTTCCCTATCAGGAGGGAAAACAAAAGCTTCTCAACAACCGCTCATTGCCGCGGCATTTAAGCAGCCCCTTCATGCACAGTCAGACCGGGCTAAAGTCATTACAAACGCTATCGGTGTGTTTATAGGTGCAGACATGAGGCCATATTCGGTTGTAGAAAACGAGGGCTTTAAAGACATGCTGAAAGTGTTTGAGCCACGTTACAACATCCCATCACGCACCCACTTCAGCGAAAAGATTGTGCCAGGGCTTTATGAGCAAGAGAAGAAAAAAGTTGTGGATGAACTATCCCGCGCATCTGGAGTTGCGCTAACGACTGATGGTTGGACGTCCAGGGGAACGGAGAGTTATGTCACAATAACTGCTCACTTCATCACCGCAGACTGGGAGATGAGAAGCCCGGTGCTGCAGACACACCCCCTCTACCAAAGTCACACAGTTCAGGTATGCTTCGCTGTCTTTCCATGTTTCACGAGAGATGATGTGTTCTATTTCATCCCTTCAGACCGCCAGAGGGCGGTGCATAGCACTGAATGTTCCCTTCGCGCATGCGCAGTTCGAGTAATAATACCAAATGAGTCACACCTGTGACCCCCTGGATGACACACCGGAGGTAATAAATTCCAGCGTCATCCAGCACTCTGTTCCTTTTTTCTTCTCGCGTGCGGTTCGAATCGTTGCTGCTTGAACTTCGTCAACGTCTGTCGCTGAAAGCCCTCTTCATCGGAGCTGCGGTTCGCCCTCCGTGGGGCGCGACGGTGACGTTGTCCTTTGGGTATTTATTGGTGTTTTCTGTACTATATGCGTGTGTATTGGTTGGTGTGAAGGCTGCTGTGGCGCCCGCTCCTCCGTCAGTACTTTCTTTTGGTACATGCATTTCGTGGTGTGAAGGCTGCGGTTCGTTGGCCTGCTCCTCCGCCTGTGCATGTTTGAGTTAGCTTTTGCTAACTGTGTATTGAGTGGTGTGAGGCTGCGGTTCGTTAGCCCGCTCCTCCATCGGTTCTTATTTGGGTTAGCCTTTGCTTCCTGTGTATTGTGTGGTGTGAGGCTGCGGTTCGTTAGCCCGCTCCTACATCAGTTCTTATTTGGGTTAGCCTTTTGCTACCTGTGTATTGTGTGGTGTGAGGCTGCGGTTCCGCTCCTCCATCAGTTCTTAGTTGGGTTAGTTTTTGCTACCCGTGTCCTCTGTGGTGTGAAGGCTGCTGTTCGCGCGCCCGCTCCTCCATCAGTTCTTCTTTGGGTTAGTTTTTGTTACCGGTGTCCTCTGTGGTGTGAAGGCTGCGGTTCGTTGTCCCGCTCCTCCATCAGTTCTTGTTTGGGTTAGCATTTGCTGCCTGTGTTTATTCTGTGGCCGGTGTATTGTGTGGTGTGACGGCTGCTGTTAGCGCGCCCTCTCCTCCATCACTACTTTATTTTTGAGTTGGCGTTTTACTGCCGGTGTATTGTGTGGTGTGAAGGCTGCTGTTCGCGCGTCCGCTCCTCCACCGTGCTATATTTGGCTTTTCTGTTGTGGAACTGCAGTACGTTGATTCGGTTCTGCAGTTTGTATACCGTTTGGGATTAGTTACATATTGAATTAACGACACAGACAGACAAAACAAGAATAATAATTTGATAATAATAATAAAGAGAAAAAAAATAAAATAAAATAAAAAACCACCTTGTTATGGACGGGTCACATGCGTGTGTGGGCTGCGGGTCAGCACTCGATGTTGATGACGGCCATGACCTGTGTCCGGCGTGCCTCGGCCCCACTCACTTGAGGGAGGCAGTGTCCGATAACCCGTGCATGAACTGCAGCTGCTTGCCCTGGGCTGTTAGGGTGGCGAGGCTGGTTCAGCTGCCTTCGTCTGGCGACGGTGGTAGTTTGCCAGTGGGACCTGCTGTGGCTCCGCCCCCTCGGCGTTCTAAGCGCCGTGTTGAGGCCTGTGCTTCAGGGGAGCGGTCTGATGGCCATGGTCCTTCCAAGCAGGCCAAGCCGGATGCTGTCCTGGTGTCGAGGGTGGAGCAGTTATCTGCAGAGTTGGAGGCGATGAAATCTGCATTCCAGGCACGTTGTGCTGCTGATGCCGTCTCTAGGGCTGGTTCTTGCTCCATGCCATCCCTCCATCCGGAAGAGGATGTGCTTTCTCTGGCGGCATCTGCTTCGTGCTTCCGGGACGAGGATGACGCGCGGTCCCTTTCGGGGGACGATGCTTATTCTTCCGCACATAGTGCGTGTCCGGCCGGTCTGGTGACGGCTCAATGCAGGAGGTTCTTCGCAGGGCCTTATCCCGTCTGCAGGTGGAACTTCCCCAGTCGGGACAGGCTGATCCTGGCAGTGCTTTTTTCAGGCGTGGTGGTTCGTCTCCTGCTTTTGTTGTGCCCCCGTCCGCGGAGTATCTGAAGGAGCTACACGCGTGCTGGAGGGACCCCAGCCGTCTCTCTAAGCTTTCGGCTGAGGGTCGGGCTTTGGCCGCGATGCACGATGCCTCTTCGGCTGGCCTGGATTGCATGCCGGCTGTTGAGCCGGCGGTTGCCTCCCTCATTGTTTCCCCGGAGGAGTCCTTGCGGGAGAATGTGAGGTGCCCTCGGAGCCAGTGTCGTGCGACTGATCACTTGCTAACAAAGGCCTACAATTCTGGTGCTCGAGCTGGCCGTATTGGTAACTCCTTAGCGCATCTGCTGCTTGCCCTGTCTGCCTCCCTCCAAGGGGGTAGTGCTGTGGGCACTGATGTTACTGCGTTTAGCGACGCAGCTCTGCATGCTTTTGCCTTGATGACCAGGGAACTCGGACGGGTCATGTCGGTCCTTGTACAGGCTCGTCGGCAGGTATGGCTGGCTCAGTCTCCCCTGACTGAGGCCTGTCGTAGGACCCTCCGTGACGTGCCTGTCGAGCCGGGTCAGTTGTTTGGGACGGCGGCCCAGGAAGCATTGGACCGGACTGTCCATGCTGGTCAGACTAGACAGCAACTTTCTAGCCTTAGCAGGGTGGTGCGCCCTCCCCGGCAGTTTTTGCGCCCGATGGTGGCCCCCGGTGTTCGGCAGCCTCCTCGGGATTGGTCTGGTGCTCAGCGTTTTCCCCAGGTCAGGCCTGCCGGGAATTTTCGTGCCCCACCAGTACATAGGCGCCCGACCCGCCAGCCAAGTGGCGCCGCGGCTGGTCCTGGGCGAGGTCCCCCCAGAGCCCCTAGGGGGCGGGGGGCGCGGAATTGACGCCTCAGGGCCGAGCGTCGGACATTTTTCCCATCAGCAGCTCGAGTGTTGGGCTGCTCGAGCTCGGGATCCGTGGGTGGTTGCCACATTGACCCACGGATACCGTCTGCAATTCCGACGCCGGCCGCACTTGTCGGGCCGGGTCAAGGTTACTTTGTTCTCGGACCCGGCAAAAGCCTTTATCTTGGATCAGGAGCTCTCCGCCCTCCTGACCAAGGGTGCCATCGAGGCGGTAGATCCGCTGCTGCAACCCAGGGGTTATTACTCCCGTTATTTTCTCGTGCCCAAGAAGACGGGGGGTTTTCGACCAATTCTGGATCTGAGGGGCTTGAATCATTTCCTGGAGGTCATTCCGTTTCGCATGCTGACGACTGCGGAAGTCCTTCAGACTGTTGGGGCCGGGGAATGGTTCACGTCCGTAGATTTGAGGGACGCGTATTTTCACGTGCCCATTGCGCAGCCCCACCGGCGGTTCCTCCGGTTCGCCTATCGGGGCGTTCACTGGCAGTTCAGGGTTCTTCCCTTTGGCCTCTCTCTCTCTCCGAGGGTTTTCACTCGATGCGTGAAGGCGGCTCTTGCTCCGCTGCAGGCCAGTGGCATGAAGGTGTTGCCTTATCTGGACGATTGGCTGATCTGCGCCCCGTCCAGGGCACGGTCCTTGGAAGATACGGAGCGCCTTCTGACTCATGTCGCCCGCTTGGGTTTCAGGGTCAATTTCGAAAAGAGCAGCCTGGTGCCTTCACAAGCCGCTGTTTTTCTTGGCCTGAGTCTAAACACTGTGACTATGACGGCCCGTCCGTCCGTGCGCCGCCTGGTCGACATCCACGGTGTGGTGTCCCGTTTCGGTCTTGGCACCCTGCACAGTTACGTCAGCTTTCTACAGCTGGTGGGGAAGCTGGCCTCGATCTCTCGTGTGGTTCCACTCGGGCTGCTTTTGCTTCGCCCGTTGCAGATGTGGCTGAACGGGTTTCGTTTGGATGCCGTTCGTCACCGCCACAGACGGTTACGGGTGACGTGGGCATGTTTTCGTGCTTTGGCTCCATGGAGGGACCGGGGTCTCCTGTCACGTGGGGTCCCCTTGGGGGTGGTAGTGTGCCGCAGGGAAGTGGTCACCACCGATGCCAGCCGTACGGGATGGGGTGCTGTGTGGCAGCACAGGTTGGCCCGAGGGGTTTGGTCTCGGGCGGAGCGCTCAGACCACATAAATGTACTGGAGCTTCAGGCCGTCCACCTTGCTCTCCAGGAGTTTTTGCCTCGCCTGCTGGGGAAACATGTCCTCGTTCGTTCGGACAACACCTCGGTCGTGTATCACATCAACCATCAAGGGGGTGTCCGATCGGCTCGGCTCCTCGAGGTGTCTCAGGCTCTGCTGGTTTGGGCTGCGCCTCGCCTGGCTACACTGCGTGCAGCGTATCTGCCAGGGGACTGCAATTGCGTGGCGGACTCCCTGTCTCGCGGGAGGCCTGCCCCGGGGGAATGGTGTCTCCACCCCGGTGTGGTCCAGAGGGTGTGGGGCCTTTTTGGTCGGGCACAGGTGGACCTATTCGCTTCGGTGGCCTCCACTCATTGCCCTCAGTTTTTTTTCCTGGACGGGGCTCCGGGCTCTCTCGGCCAGGATGCCCTGGCGCACAGTTGGCCTCAGGCCCTCCTGTACGCCTTCCCCCCTTTTCCTCTGATCTGGCCAACCCTCCAGAGGGTCCTTCGGGCGGGGCACAGTTTATTACTGGTGGCTCCATTTTGGCCTGCACGGCCCTGGTTTCCACTGCTACTCAGACTTTTTTGGGCTCCCCCCTGGCCTCTCCCTCCCAGGCGGGATCTGCTCTCACAGCTGGACGGTCAGGTGTGGCATCCCTGTCCTCACCGCCTCAAGTTATGGGTATGGCCATTGGCTGGCCCGAGCTGCGGGCACTCGATGTCACTGGCCCTGTCAGGCGTACACTCCTGAATGCCAGGGCGGCCTCTACTCGGCAGCTGTATGAGAACAGGTGGAAGTTGTTCTCCCGCTGGTGTTCTTCCCGCGGTCGGGATCCCGTGTCGTGCCCGGTGGCGGTTGTCCTGGAATTCCTTCAGTCTCTCCTGGATGAAGGTCGGGCCTCATCTACTCTGAAGGTATATGTTGCTGCTATTTCATGTTATCATGGCCAGGTTGATAACTGTACTGTGGGGGGCCATAACCTGGTGTCTCTCTTTTTACGCGGAGCTCGTAGGCTGCACCCTCGCGGCCTCCGGTTTGGGACCTGGCCTTGGTGTTGGAGTCTCTCTGCCGCCCTCCGTATGAGCCATTGGCCCGAACGGACCTCAAGTGGCTCTCCTATAAGACTGCTTTCCTGTTGGCTGTGGTCTCTGCAAAAAGGGTCGGTGAGTTGCATGCACTTTCTGTCAGTCCCTCATGCCTACACTGGGATCCTGAGAGGGCTGGCGTGGTCTTGTGGCCTAATCCCACTTTCCTCCCTAAGGTGCTTTCCCGTGACTATTGTAACCGGCCTTTGAGGTTGGCGCGGTTTGTGTCCCCCCTGGATGAGGGTGAGGACAGACTGCACCTGCTGTGTCCTGTGAGGGCATTGGAGGCCTACGTTGCTGCGACGGCAGGTGTGAGGCGCTCAGACCAGCTCTTTGTTGCTTATGGTGATGCTAGACTGGGAAGTCCACTTTCGAAGCAACGCCTTTCCCACTGGGTGGTTGACGTTATCAGTCAGGCGTATGTTTCGGCCGGCCGCGACCCGCCAGCAACGGTGAGGGCCCATTCTACCAGGGGTGTCTCTGCCTCCTGGGCCGCTATGCGCGGGGTGCCGTTGGGAACTATTTGTGCTGCTGCGTCTTGGGCTACACCAAGCACGTTCACCAGATTCTACAACATCAATGTGGCCACTCCGGCTCCTCTTGGCGTGGTCCTTCAGGAATCCTCTGGCTCTCCTCCGTGAGGTGTGTGGTCAAGATCCTTCGTGACATAGCTGGTATAAGGTCATTCAGTGCTATGCACCGCCCTCTGGCGGTCTGAAGGGATGAAATAGAACGAGGGTTACGTATGTAACCACGGTTCTATGAATCCCGGATGACCGCCAGAGGCGCTCTGTCACTCAGGGTCCTTGCATCCGCGAGAAGATTCTGCAGGAACAGAGTGCTGGATGACGCTGGAATTTATTACCTCCGGTGTGTCACCCAGGGGGTCACAGGTGTGACTCATTTGGTATTATTACTCGAACTGCGCATGCGCGAAGGGAACATTCAGTGCTATGCACCGCCCTCTGGCGGTCATCCGGGATTCATAGAACCGTGGTTACATACGTAACCCTCGTTTTCTTATGTTGCACTTTAAGTTGTTTTTCATTCATTATGTTAAAAAGAAGTTATGCCTTGTGCACTTTAAGTTGTATTTAAATGTTTTTATTTAATAGTAATAAAGTGTTCATAAAAAAGACAAAACTGTTTTTTTTGCTGAACCGAAAAATGAACCGAACCGTGGCCTCTGAACCGAGGTACGAACCGAACCGTGATTTTTTCAAACCGTTGCACCCCTAGTTTTTACCAGTGTGGGCAGGTCCCGGCTCCAAAAGGTCCATGAGCACGTGCGATGACATGCTGCAATCTCACTGGTTGGTGAGGGTGTACCCGGAAAGAGAATCACCCAATGCTTTTGTATGGCGTCTTCTTTCCTCTTGAAAACCTCTTCACAGGATGGTCCCAAAGTGGCTCTTGGTCCAAAAGTGGCTCTTGGTCCCAAAGTGGCTCTTGGTCCCAAAGTGGCTCTCGGTCCCAAAGTGGCTCTCGGTCCCAAAGTGGCTCTCGGTCCCAAAGTGGCTCTCGGTCCCAAAGTGGCTCTCGGTCCCAAAGTGGCTCTCGGTCCCAAAGTGGCTCTCGGTCCAAAAAGTGGCTCTCGGTCCCAAAGTGGCTCTCGGTCCCAAAGTGGCTCTCGGTCCCAAAGTGGCTCTCGGTCCCAAAGTGGCTCTCGGTCCCAAAGTGGCTCTCGGTCCCAAAGTGGCTCTCGGTCCCGAAGTGGCTCTTTCTCTTCACATTTTCCTTCCCCCTGCGGCCATTTTGACAAAGCCCACAGAAGGCAACAGTGTTTGAACGGCGGAGATAGGCGTGACTACCTCCGTTAACATTTCCAGTCTATGGTTTTGACAGTCGTGAGCTGTTCCATTCTCCCTCCACACATCAACGTTGTGTGTTCCTCCCAAACAATTCTACTTTGGTTTCGTCAGTGTTTTGCCTGTAGATCTGTGGAGTGTCCATCCCCCTTTTTGCAAACATTCCTCTGCGCAGTCCTCCCATGAACACCGTCCTCGACCACAGTTTGGCATGTGGTAGATCACAGAGGTATTGGACTGTGCCAGTGATCTCTATAAGTCTTCATTTAGCGGACACACTCTGGGGTTATTGGTTACCCTTTGGGAGTATTCTGCGCTGATTTCTTGCCGTCATTTTCAGAGGCCACTTTATGAGCGAGAAGCAACCAACTCCATTTACAGACACTTTCTCAACAGGATGGATGAACAAGACATTACCCAAGGTTCATATAAAACATAAATTCTCCATGGCAGGATATCAGAGAGCCATTATGAGTGAGGCTTGGTCCACAGCAGCCAATGCTTCTATTCAAAACACAATTATTTTAAGGAATTGTGTCTGTGTCTGTTTTTTAGAGAGTAGATCAGCTTTAAGCCTCTCCTCAGTGATCGGAAACACACCCGACATATAGTTTTTTAAAATAAATGCCTTTAAAAATCTCTCAAAGTTTCCTTATGCAGAAAGTTCAGTTACGAATTCCTCCCCATTCTGTCATTGTTTACTCATTAAAGATAATAAAACCTATAAATGTGCGGGTGGTTTTAGTTTAAGCACTGTTCTTTTATCTGTGATTTTATGCAGAAAGAAATTCTAAAACCTTCATATTCTTTTTCAGGCCTCTGTAGTGCGATCGTCTGCTGAACAGTAACCTCTAGACACTCGTGAATAGTAAACAATTAAAATCCCAGCTTTCTTACTGTTCTCAGTGGACCTGCCTGTGCAAAAGGAGGCCGATTCATCGTCTTCCGGGCGCGGTGGATTTTGGTGGGACCAGGGGAGCCGGAGGGAGAGGCGGCCCCAGAGGAGGACAGAGGTGCTGGGGGCAGAGAGGACTTACTGCTGCCCGGTCCGGACACACTCATCTTGGCTCGGCCCGGAGACTGCAGCGTGGACGAGGTGGAGGGAGGGGACAGCAGCGAACTGGACATGGAAGAGTGCGGCTTCGGAGCAGGAACTGGAATAAACAGGAGAAGAAATGTATTTGGGATCTGTCTACACCTGTGTCTTAACCACACCACGCTAATTCTTCCCGATGCAGGAAGGTCTAAGGACAGTGGTGGTGATCCAGAATGATTAAGGACATTTATAAACATCTATTGGTCTCTGTCCCTTACCGACCAATGGCTCTATTTGTTTTTACTATTTGATTCTCTGATCAGACTGTACAATAAGTCACTTTAATAACCTACACTAGGACTGTAAACTGCTACACTGCTACAGTCAGAATTATACATAATAAATCTTGCACAAACAAGACTATCTTTTCACTTTTTAACATGTTACTATTCCGGTCTTTTGCACATTGTGAGTGATATTATTTATGCCAAATGTCTATTTCTCCATTGTGAGATTGAGGGCTATAATTTAGGGCAATACAAAAATGAATTTACTTGAAAATAAATTGCATTGAACCTTCACAAACTTGCTGCTCTGTCTGCTATATCTGTAACACCCTTATTATTATAGAATTAGTACATTTTAATTCCCAAAATGTCGTTAAAATGTTGTATAAGAGGTCTGCACACATTCAGTGTTTCTGGAAGGATCAATTCATTTTATTAATTTCAGTCATTACGTTGGAGAAATCCACATTCTCAGGCACAAGAGATTATATAGAACGGTCAAACGAGCACGAATCGTTTAGAGTGAGTAAATGACAAAGAAAAACCGCCTTAAACATAGTCCAAAGCTTCTTGAATGATCTAAATCTGTCTTTGCTGTAGCATCGTCATCTGTAGATCGCACTGGGAATTACACTCCCATGTAATCAAGCACGACATGTCCTGGCCCAGTGCAGATCATGAAATCATATCTCCTTCTCTTATCAGACACCGGAAGTGCTAAGACCAATCCTGTTTTGGATCCTCTACAGTGTGTATTAAAGAGCATGGCTTTGTTTTTTAAGAGGAGATTTCAGGGATTCTTCTGAACTGAGCAGAGATAAAAGGAGACAAACTACAATGTTTCCCCGTAGACCTCACCTCCTGCTGGTTTGTGCACCAGTGATGTCGTCGGGGGCCCATCCTCAGTTCGAACCACGTCCTTGAGCTTTGACGACAACAACATCGAAGTCTTTGCTCCCATTACATCCGTTTTGTTTGCCGCAGGGAGAGGACAAAAGACGGCACTATCTGCAGAAATATCCACGGTCAAAGTTAAGTACAAAAGGAAAAACAACACATCATTTTGAGAATCAGACACGGACTTACCTTCTATTCGACTTGGACCCGGTAGTGCTTCTTTGGCCGAGTCCAGTTCCACCAACTACAAAAAAACAGGAGGAAAAGAGACAGAAATTGCAGTGAAATCCACGATCATAATATCAGATGAAAGAGTCTGTGCTTTGGGGCGAAAAGTTCTCTACAAATTTGGGATTTTCTCCACAAACTAGTCATATTAACCTTGTGGCTCGAAGTCCTGTCAGAGGTAAGGCCAACTAATCTCCAACCAGCAAATACTTCACTGCTCACAAAAACTTAGGGCACACTCATCAAACACAATGTAACTCCAAGTCAGACAAATGTCTGGATATCAGACCGTCCAGTTTGGAAGCCACACTAATTGTGAATCAATTTCACCTGATGTTGTGGAAATTAAACTGACAACAGGTGGAAATGAGAGGCAATTAAAAAGGTCACTGCAAAAGAGTTATGGTTTTGCAGGTGGTGACCACAGATCATTTCTCTGTATTCATCCTTTGTACCGTACTTTGGAACACTTTTGCATTTGTCCAGTGTTCTCACCACCAGAGGTGTCATGAGGAGGCATCTACAACCCACAGGAGTTGCTCAGGGAGTGATGCTCATCCAAGGTGGGACGTCCATTCGTGCTGTGGCAAGAAGGTTTGCTGTCAGATTCAGATTCATTTATTTGCCATTTGCAGTAAAACCACATTGGAAAAACTGTGCAAGACTACCCCAGTGTGCACCAGACGACACACACCAGAGCTCTTGCCACGGCGCCATCTTTACGGCGCCATGCAGTGTCTCCCAGCGCAGTGTCTCCCAGCGCAGTGTCCAGAGCATGGAGGAGATACCAGGAGACAGGCCAGTACACCAGGAGACCTGGGGGGGCCGAGGTCAACAACCCAGCAGCAGGACCGCTATCTGCTCATTTGTGCACAAAGAAACAGAAGCACTGCCCGAGCCCTACAAAATGACCTCCACAGGGCCACAAATGTGCATGTTGGTACTCAAACGGTCAGAAACCGGGTCCATGACCGTGCTATGAGGGCCCGACGTCCCCAAGTTGGGTCGGTGCTTACTGCCCAACACCGTGCAGCCTGATTGGCATTTCCCCGAGAACACAGCGATTGGCCGATTGTGCCCCGTGCTCTTCACGGATGAGAGCAGGTTCAGCCTGAGCACATGTGACAGACGAGACAGAGTCTGGAGACGCCCTGGAGAACGTTCTGCTGCTGCCACATCATCCAGCATGACCAGTTTGGTGGTGGGTCATAGGATGTGTTTGAGTGTGCCCTAAGTCTTTGTGAGCAGTTTATAACAACACAAATGAGTCGTAAATGTCTCTAGAATTCCATCATATTTTAAAAAAGGCTTCATAACCATCTTTGTTTAGTACGAGGAGAGCTTTAATTAAATCCACGGCAGCAGAAAAAAATAGGTCCTTGAGCAAAACACTCCTGGTCAATGGTGTAGGTTTGGTTCCAATCTTGGTGGGGACATTCACTACGACCTGAGTCTACACCCATTGACACGGGGTCCAGAGTTTCTCCCCCAGAATTTGTTGTGTAATCACACACTATATTTGCAATAGTGTGTTGCCTTCTATACTAAACTCAGCTGTAGACTGAATGAGAAGCAGTTATGTATGTTAACAGAAGATTAATCATCACAATTCATAATTTGCTATTACTTGTGCTTTCTCTTACTTACTTTCCAACTGTTAAAAAAGCTCCTGATATCTTTTATCTTATTTGTGGAGGTGGCATTTTTTCTAAATTATATAAGAAGGTATAGACAATCAAAAACAGACATTCATATACATGAACTGCAGAATCATTTATATAACTTGGCCAATGTCAAAAGTTACATAGTATTTCTCAATACAATGAGTTAACAAGAGTTTGGCAATAAGTAACAGTGTGGATTTTTCTATATTTTCTTTTTTTTTATTCCACTCTCTACCCAAAAAGGCAAGTAATGACTCACAGGGCTCTCAAGTATGCAAAATAAAAACTTAAATGACCTGTTGTGGTGTGTTTTGCGCACAACCAGCATGCATCGTTAACGCAATGGAAAATTTACGTATCCGAGCTTTAATTTCGGGAGCGCTGGTTGCGCTTTGGGAAGAGTCAGGGGAGAGACATGTCAGAGACACAGGGGAGAAACGGGGGAGATACGAGGGAGACCCGCACTTGCAACATGGTTCTGTCTGCATATGGTCCGAGCTCGGTACCATGTTAGAGCTGTGCTTTCACTGAGCGCCGCGGCTGTCATTACAAAGCGGCAGCAGCTGCAACAGGACGTGCACATTCGAGTGCATCGCTTGAATGTGCTTAGAGCAAATAACAGCAAGTGCCCGCTGTCACACATTTCACAGAAATCACATTATCAGCAGATAAAGGTTGTAAATCGTGGATCCGTGGAATATTTTCATCCCTAGTTTATCCTGATTCACACAACACACCCACTTATACATTTTGGATAGTAAGAGCACAATAAGTATTTTTTCAGCCTTTCAACCAACCTGTTTCTTTATTGGAGCCAGTTCTGTTCTGTCTCTGTGCCGTGTGAGCTCCTCGGAACATTAAACAGTGCGCTGACAGATTAGAAATAACGTAAGTACTTTGAATGGTAATAGATCTACAGTACTTTCCTCTGATTACTCACGTGCTACAACGCTCAGGGAACGAAAAAAAACACTTGCTTCACGCTGGCTAACTTTTAAAAATTAAACAGTCGCTCAGTGCTTCAGTTTGGCGCTGAAGAAGACAGCCAATCACTGCAGAGAACGGAACGGGTCACGTGCTGCTGCTGCTGCTGTTGCTCTGGAGGCGAAGAGGAGGCGCGACGTGTGCACAAACGGAAGACATGTGTCCCGGACCGTCCGGGTCCCGGGACATCATGTCATTTTGGTGGGGACTTTTTAGTCCTCACCAAATATTGGTGGGGACATATCCCCATGGTCCCCACGCAAACCTACGCCCTTGCTCCTGGTTATTACTGCCATAGAAACAGCAGCTAGTTTAAAACTTTGAGCTGAGAATGTAGAACAAGGACAATGAGGGATGGGTCTGAAAACGTGAGATCATATTGAAAAAAACACCCAAAAACTGGTTATAATCTTTGTTTTAGATTGATTGATTTGATCACAATTCATAACTAAGTCTGTATAATTATGTTTTAAAGCTGTAAAGTGGTAAATAAAGTCAATGTGCTCTTTCATAATACACACTTCCTGTTGGTAAAAACTACTTTGTGCTTGTGGTGATTTTTAACAACAGCAAAAATGTATGTACGGTTTGTCTAAGAGTATATCTGGATTATTAACACAATTAGTAAATCGGGAAATCAAAATCAACTTTGCATATTGTCTGAGCTCAGGCAAAACTTTTTAATTTAAGATATTCACATGGCTCAACACCAGCTCCAACAGATGCACAAACTAAACTCTTCAGCCTTTAATAACGCCAGTCTCTAAAACATGGGGTGTCAAACTCATTTTGCATCGTGGGCCACATACGGCCTAGGGAGATGTCAAGTGGGCCGGACCATTAAAATTATACCATACTCTGCTATAAATAACCAAAATATCATGTCTTTCCTTTGTTTTGGTGTAAAGAAGCACAAGAACATTAGGAAAATATTGAAATTTAATGTCCTATCTTTTTACAAAACATTTCATGAAACACCTCATATTTCCTTAGACAAATGTGCAATTTACTTTTATCATTCACAAATATGCATTGCAACTGATCCCACTGATTGTACAAAGGCACAAAACTTTAATTGGTACTGAAAAATATAGTAATGCACTTTAAGATTAAATGAGACTTTTAAAGAAAGGAATTTTTAAACCACTTACACATTTGCATATAAAATCTAAATGTAATCCCTGCGTACACCTTACAAACTAAGGAGAGTGCTTTTAAATGTGTAATGAAGAAAGTTCGCCTGTCCTGGCGGCACGGTGGCTGAGTGGATAGCACTCTCGCCTCTCAGCAAGAAGGTCCTGGGTTCGAATCCCGGTCGGACCAGGGCCTTTCTGAGTGGAGTTTGCATGTTCTCCCCGTGTCTGCGTAGGTTTCCTCCGGGTACTCCGGTTTCCCCTACCGCTAAAAATATGTAAAATAGTTCTGGCATGCGCCTCCTGTTCGGCGACCCCGCTCCCATCTCTGTGTGGAGTGAGAGACAAGTGCCCAAAAAAAATAACAATTGTAAACCGCTTTGAGACTCAGCTCTGCAGTGAAAAGGCAGTATATAAATAATTACTTACTTACTACTTACTTACTACTCCTGTAAATCTGTAAACTTCATACATGAAACATACATACACATACAATACATACTGAAAATTTATGGAGTTTTATGAACAGTAGAATTCCATCACACAACTTTTGTTTTGAAGCTGCTGACTAATATTAAAGTGCACATTTTTTAAATCACCACAGTAAGGATTCATCTTCACAGAGCTGTATTCTTTCAATGCAAACAGTATCACAGCAGCATTTTAAAGGTGTTAGTCTAGTCTGGACTTGTATTTGTTCCTGAAACTTGGCATCTTTTGGCCTGTACAAGCGCATCAACACCAGGTGTCATGTCCTGACTAGCTGTCACTTTCAGAATGTCATTTAAGTGCTTGTTTGTGAGCCTTGAACGCATTTTTGCTTTATTGATATTCATCACTGAGAAAATGTGTTCACAAAGGTAGGTTGTCCCAAACATGCACAACATTTTAGCAGCCAGGGCTGTTAATTTGGGGTACCCTGGTAGTAGATACTGATAAAATCTGTCCAGACCTACAGAGGCAAATTTGCCCTTCAAATCTGCATCACACTGCAAATCAATTATCTCTAGCTGAATTTCGACCGGCAGATCAGAAGCTTTAACTGTGAAAGGTGAGCGAAAAACTGAAAATTCTGTCTCAAGTTCACCAAATACCTGAAAAAGTTTCTCAAACTCCCGCAGTAGTCCTGCAATTTTGTCTTTGTACCGTTTCATGTCCGCATCAGGTCTGGTCACACACACATCTCTCAGACAGGGGAAATGAGGGTTGCCATTTGCCAGTTGCATCTCCCACAAAGTCAGCTTCAACTTAAATGCATGTATGTTGTCAGAAAACTGTGTGACAACTTTTTTGCGGCCTTGCAACATTTTGTTCAAGTGTTCAGTAATATCAACCAAGAATGCAAGGTCCCGTAGCCATTCCTGAGATTGTAATTCCAACACCGGTTTTCCTTTTTTCTCCATGAACTGTCCGATTTCCTCTCGTAGATCAAAGAAATGCCTCAGCACAGCGCCTCGGCTTAACCATCTCACTTCAGTGTGGTATGGCAGGCTGTGGGTAATGTTGCTGTCGCTGAGAAGTTTGTCAAACTGACGATGGTTCAGACCTCTGGACCGGATGAAATTTACAGTGCGAACAACCACCTCCATGACGTGGTCCATTTTCAGCGACTTGCAACACAATGCCTCCTGGTGCAAAATACAGTGAAATGTCCAGAAACAATCTCCTCCATTAAGGGTTTGTACTTTGTCTTTGAACTTTGTCGCGACACCTGCTTTCTTTCCGACCATGGATGGCGCGCCGTCTGCAGCCAGGCTGACAGCGCGGACCAGTCCACTCCAACTCTGTCCAATGCAGCAACGACAGAGCCCAAAATGTCCTCCGGCTGTTGTGGTGTCCATCATTGGCACCAACTCAAGAAACTCTTCAGTAACAGTCAATGTCACATCAACTCCTCAAATAAAATATGGCCAGTTGGGCCACGTCTGTGATGTCAGTGCTCTCGTCAGTTGCCACGGAAAATGCAATAAAGGACTTGACTCTTCGTTTCAATTGACTGTCTAAATCTGCCGATAGTTCCGAAATCCTCTCTGCTATAGTATTCCTCGTCAGGCTAATATTGGCAAAAGCTTGTCGCTTCTCGGGACATACAAGTTCAGCCGCCTTCATCATGCATCGTTTAAACAAAGTCACCGTCGAATACGGCTTCGATGCTAATGCTATTTCGCTAGCAATTAGGTAGCTGGCTTTTACCGCTGCTATCACTGACTTCTCGGCTCTTGATGAAAGTTGACTGCTGTTTCCTCATACCCGCCAGCAATTCGTTAATCTTATCTCTTCTCAGTTGTCCTTGCAAGCCGTCATATTTTTTGCTGTGATGAGTCTCGTAGTGGCGTCGAATACTATATTCCTTCAATACCGAAACTTGTTGCAAACACACCAAGCACAAAGGTTTTCCGTGCATCTCTGTAAATAAATAGGACGTGGTCCATTTTTTCTTTGAAAATTCTACACTCCTTATCTACTTTTCTCCGTTTGGATAACGACATTTTGGCTAATGAGGGTGTAGCGGAGAGGTAGAGACCAAGGTATTAACAACGTCGTAACAACAAGCAGCAGATGGCGCATTGATAACCGTCTGCTGTTTTCAGTCTGTCTCAGTGATGGCGGCTTTTTTAGCGGATAATCCATGAATTGCAGCGAATTAAAAATATTAATTCTTTCTAGGTTTTTTTATGCATTTTTTTTTCCACTTTCAAAATGATCCTGTGGGCCTGATCAAACCTCCTTGGGGGCCGGTTTCCGGCCCCACGGGCCGTATGTTTGACACCCCTGCTCTAAGTGTTTTAAATCAGAAAATCAAACAAGCCCAAAAACTCTTTCTGAATCACATTTATTTGACCGATGAAGGACTGGATTATTCACAAAGTATGAACCAACGACGTCTCCAGGCAGATTAACGTACCACGCTGAAAGACAACGGTCGAGTCCAAAACGTTTGTGACACATTGGAATAAACAAAGAAACACAGCAGCGAATACGGTGCAGCGCCAAAATGTATTCAGTTTAAAAAACAAAAACATCTAAAACAATTGAAAAGCTTTAGAGACAGATGCCGTCTTTAATACTTGTTTTTGAATATGTGCAACTTTTCCCTGTTTATCTAAATAGAACCAAGACATTTTTGACAGTTCATTTCAATCTATTTTTGTCTAGCCTTAAATCACATCCACAGTCGTCATGGAGGACTTTACAAAGTTTTTCCATTCGCCAACAATAGAAAAGAGAATCAGACCGTGTGAATGCAGAGATTACAATAATAGCAAAGATATAGGAGGCACTGGTCCATAAGAGCAGGATGACAACAGTCTGTAAATGATGATTACATAGAATGAGTCTGCTGTGTGCCCCAGGGCAGCTGTGGCTACAGTAGTACTTAATCCACACGTGTATGGAGTGAAAGAGTGACATGTGAAGCAGGTGTTGTGACAAAGCGAAACTGATGCTGTATTCTTATTGTTATAATGCCGTGCACATGCTTTATCTTTTACATAACGGTACATTTGTGGCTTCAATGAAAAAGGGAGTTTTTTTTCTGAAATAACAGGGACATGGGTTTGTGCAGGAAAACCAAAAGTAGGAACAGGAGGTCACCCAGCTCAAAAACTTCTGCGCTGTAACACTTTCATTACTTTCCCCCTGCTCTGGATCACTATCTCCAACTTTCTTCCACAGCTTTTATTGACAGAATGCACATTTTAACTCTGATGTTTTCCAATGCACGGGCCACTCCTGCAGACTAACTTACTTTGTCTCTGTTTTTAGCCCCGCTGGTGCTGCAGCTGGTGATGCCCGTGGTCAGGATGTCGTGATGGACCCTGAGATGCCTGCTGGGTTGGTAGTGTTCCCGACATAAGCCATCTCATGTCGGCACAGTTTGCACACGGCGCGCCGCTTGTCCAGAACCCCGTGGATCATCCAGAACCCGAAGTACTCCCAGACCGCGGACTTACTCCCGCTGGGGTACACGATCTGCGCCTTTTTCACCGGGGCTCGCCGTCCATTGGCGGATCGGGCATTGTTTAGAGGCGTGCGCGCTTCTGCAGGAGGCTGGCTCCAGCTCCGGGGTGCCAGGTTCGTTAGGGAATAACCAGCGAACAAGACGTTAAAGCTGGGTACCGAACTTCTCACCCCAATAGATTTTTTAGCACAGAAAGACCTCAATATGCAGACGTCATCTAGCTACCAAACCAGGAAGAAAGATCCCTGTGAGTCACTGATGCTTTGGGCTTTAATAATGGTTAAAGGTTTAGGGGAGCATTCCATTCATCCATTTTCTTCCCCTCAATCCATTTCTGGGTCGGGGGATGTCCAGTCAGAGCTGCACCCAGTTCACAGAGCACTAGGGGAGGATTTTCCCACATTTTAGGCAAAAAACACAGTTGGGAGGACCAATAGTCTTGATGATCCACCCGGAAGTAGAAAATCCTTTAAGATTAAGTGGTCCTTTAAGTTTATCCCACATTGGCAAACTTTCAGTGTTGCATCAGCCGTTACAGACCAGTAACAATCACTCTATATTATAAAATTAAATAAAATCTCTAGCTTTACTGTAATGAAGAAGTAAGTATTAAGGAAGAAATCTCTGACTATAATAATAATATTACAATTGTTTTTTATGCATCCCTTTTTGGACACTCAAAGACGCTTCACATATCATTATTCATTCACTTCCATAACTATTACTGTAGCCACAGCTGCCCTAACTGATAGAAGCAAGGCAGTCAGTCTGTGCCATCAGTCCCTCCGACCACAACCAACATATCAGGCTTTGAGATTAGACTGACTTTTTTAGCAGATTAATCAATCCTAAAAAAAATTGTCCCCTCCTGCAGCCCATGGCCCGATAAAGGCAAATATAAGAAAGGGCCTCAGAAGCAAGCACAAAGGTACAAAAGCACAAAACCCCAATACAAAAGGTCAATGGGGTTTCCAACGCCAACCAATCATTAAAAATAACAAAAGAAGAGCTTAAAGTCGCTACAAAGAAGCGGACATGGCAACTTTGGTCCTCCGCCTGACTTCCTGTTGAATTTCATAATAAAAGTGCTATAAAAAAAAATTAAAACTGGAATTAAAAAAACGACTGTCTAACTACCAATCTCATACGGGATGCACTATTGACAAAGGCCACGATTATATAGAGGTCAAATTCTTCATTCAAGCAAAACAAACTACAACAACATGCATATAAATGAATTGACAACACATCATTCAATAATACATTTTTAATATTCACTAAAATAAATTACTCTTTCATATTGAGTATCTAAACGTACAATAGTGTATTACATTGTTATAGCTCAACAAATGCAAATGAGATCATAAAATAAACCCTCGCATAAAAAAGTCTGACTTGTATAAAAGGTATTGTCATTTTTGGACACTAACAAAACATTGCTTGATGAACACCCTTGGTTTTACCCACGTTTTTTCCCCTTAGTCTAAGTTGTAAAAAAAAAAAACAAATGTGTGCCACCAGAGCATTAATGACGAGGAAATGGACTATATATGTAATGTAAAAATGGTTAGATTTCCGCAAATATAATTTTCACCACTACAGAAATGACACAAGCTAGCCTTTAGCAGCAGTGCACCCACAGGCAGAGCAGCTCCATAATGAGACAAATGCTATCGATGGTTGTGTATTTTGAGCGTCACAGATTTTCTTTGTATTTTAAATTCATCTTGTAAGTGCATATTGTTTTCTGAACGTGATACAGGTGAGAATTGTACCTTTGTCGTCTCCTCAGATGCAGACATGTCCTCCGAAGCGAGCAGCGACGTATTTGAACCATAGTCACTTTTTCCCCCGAGTAGCCTATCCGACACTGCATCATAATTAGCTAAAATAATCAATCTAATCTTATTCCTTGACAAAATATTCTTTAAACGAATCATTTATGGTCTAAAATAAACATTTGTTAAGTGACTACTGTAGGTATTGAAAATCACACTACTTTAATAAGTCGAAAGATGAAGGAACTAAGCTAATTCAACAATAGCAAACTCCCACATAAAGCTATTTGTTTGTATAATTTAATACACATAACTCAAATTAAACAAACGTTGAAAGTGT